CCTTGTTTGGTAGAATTTATTAGTGAATATTTCTGGGCCTCGTGATGATTTCAGAGTTAATAATCATTGGTTTTATGTCTCCTGTTTTAAGTCTTTTTTACTTTTTTCTGTAGATTCCCTTTTCCTTTTTCACTCCTTTTTTAATATTAGTTTTAAAAGTTTCTATTAAAACAATACAGGGTTAGGATTTTCTTCAATAAACTTGAGTTATTGGCATGTGCTCACACAGACATTCTTTGTTTCTTCTACAGTGTTTCCTTCTTCCTTCCTTCCTTCCTTCCTTCCTTCCTTCCTTCCTTCCTTCCTTCCTTCCTTTCTTTCTGTTTTCTTTTTTGTTTTTTGAGACAGGGTTTCTCTGTAGGATTGGAGACTGTACAACTTTGGAACTGACACAAAGTATATTCTGTCTGCTCTCTGTCCAGGCTTCTCCTTCCCAAGTCTTGGGCACATTTGCTCCAGAATGTCATGACAGTAGTCTGTTTGGGAAGATGCCAGGGCAATTGTGAGGAAAGTTGGCATCAGGCTAGTCTCTGGTCTGCCATAAGTGGCAGCTGCCGCCTCTTATCAGTTACATCTGCCAGTTTGCTCTCTCTCTCTCTTTTTTTTTTCCAGTTCCCCTCAACCCTTCTCTTTGAGATGCTGAAACTTTAGATGCCAGAGGCAACTGTAGTACTAGTACTGTCCAAAGGATTTGTAGAGAAAGGGGGGGAGGGTTGCTCAGTTGCTCAGTTTGCTCAGTTTGCTCAGTTTGCTCAGCAACTCAGGTTGCTCAGTTTAGTGTTTCAACTTTCCAAACTAAGCAATCTGTTCACTCTTGTATTTAGCATTCAAAATGCCTTTGCGTGCCAATCTGTGTGATGGCATTAAAGTTCTGTTAAAACTCTTGAGGCCAACTTTACTGACCAAAATGGATGCCGCCCCTCTTATATTTTAAATAAAACCCACTTTATTTTTATTTACAAAAGAAAGGAAGGAAATGAACTCCTAAGAGTGTATAGGGTATTTCCCTGAGACCAGGACTTTACCTCTGAGAGTTGTGCACTGATACTCATTGGGAACTCACCAGCTATAGTTTGGGTTTTTTTCTACTCTATCCCTGTCTTCTGTGTTTTCTGCTCCATCAGTTGTGACTTTTTTAGCTGCCTGTGTCTCAGAATTGGAAGGACAATTTGTTCTGGGACCCCACTGTTCTGATGGCTCTGAGAGGATGTTGGTTTTTTAAATAGGTTTTTGGCTTGGTTTGGTTTTTGGTTTTTGATCTTTTGAGACAGAGTTTCTCTGTGTCCTGAACTCATTCTGTAGACCAGGTTGGCTGCAAAATCACATAGTTTCTGCCTCTGCCTCCTCAGTGCTAGAATTAAAGGCATGCGCTACCACCGCCTGGCTAAAATAGGGTTTGGCTTGTTAGATGACTGACAACCTTCCAAGCTTTGTGCACAGCGGACTGGAAGCCAGAGCATTCGATATGCTGTACTTTTGGTCTGAAGTAGTCCATATGTGTCAGGCTGTTTGCCTGCCGTTCCTCCTTTCAGCTCTTTACCAACTCCAGTCTCTGAAAAGTCCTGATTTCTCTTAAGACTAAAGTTTTTCTTTTTAAAAAAATGGAAACATTTTATATTAAGTCTGTATCTTGATAAATTTACAGAGACCTGTGCCTCTACTCCTAGAAGAGAAAGTGAAGTATTTAATCCATCTCCCCAGTGTCCTGTGCTCCTTCCCCAGAAGACCCCATTCCCCATCTGAAATCACCAATTCCAACTTCCGTCTTGATGGGTTAGTTTGTCAGATGCTTGGAGCCTCCCTGCACTGTCGGTGGCAGCTGGCCTCCCCTGCTCAGATTCCGTAGCTTTAGCCACACTGCAGTCTGTAGCTCGTTTTCATTAGTAACGCTCTCATATCCAGTCACCTGTCGATGAAGAGGTGAGCAGCTTCCAGTTTGGGGGCTATCAGAAACAAAGCAACCAAAGAATGTGTACGTAAGACTTTGTATAGAGAGTTGTCTTCATTTCTCTTGGGTAGATGAATACTGAGGAAAGTTTGGCTGGGTAAAGTGAGACACATATTTAAGGAAAGTCTTAATTTTCAGTGCTATTATTTCCATCTTAATAGTTTCATTTTTTTTTTCTTGGCAAGCTATGGAAATGCAAGTCACAGTGTAATTTTGACTGATGACTACATCAGCAAATAACAGATGGGTGCCAGCTGCCCTAGGCTTTGGGCAGAGTGTCTGTGCCAAACCCACGGTGAGCTCAGCAGCTGCTTCTGGAGCGTAACTGATGCCTGTTCCCATGTAACTAACCAGCTGCTGCTTCTGCTCCAACTAAATTTAACAACTTGGAGCAACAGAAAGCCGTTTTACGAAGTATTCCCAATATAGTCTCTGCTCCAGAGCTTGGCAGAGGGCTGTGTAGTGTGATTGCTTCCCTGTTTCAGAAGCATCCTCCGTGATTCACAATGCTCCGTTATTTTCTTTTAAGTATGAGAGTCATTACAAGTTATTAAAGTTATAGAAGAACAGACAGCAGCGTGGTGTGGGCTTTGAGGAGAGTTCAGCCCCATGTGGCAGAGTGACTGTCCCTTTTTATTGGTCTCAGAGAAAGGGGGAAGGTTCTGGGCCACGTTTGATGGGTACTTTCAGGCAGGCTGCCTATGATTCCTGGAGGTGAGCATTGCCTGCGAGTGGGGAAGAACAAGTTGCTAGAGGACCTTTAGACACTGGCATGCCCCTAGGTAACATTCGTGAGGCTTTGTATTAGCCAGGTGAAAGGGAGCACACTTAGGATTTTAGTAGTTCTTCTCCGCTGGGCAAAGGCAGCATCCTTATCAGGGGAGTCTTTCGACAGTCTAGTGTGGGAAATCTGGAGGAGGAGGCTGCTTTCGGGGAGGGGTCCTTCCTCCGTGGCCTCCAAGCCTGCTAATATCTAGCTACCTAAAAATTTTCCCTCAAGAGTAGAGACCATAAAATCATTTAAATTCTTTTAATGGACAGTGAGTCCCCCTGTCTACTTCCTGCTAAAAATGGGACATTGATATGTTTAATCTTCACCCTTGCTGTCAGGCATTGCAGGACAGCCAAGGCCATCCAGACAGATGGAGTTAGGTTGTCACACAGGACCATAAGAGTGAGGATGTGCAGCTGTGAGGGATTGAGAATGTGGCAATTGTTTAGTCTCTCAGTCTGCCCAGGGGGATCTAAAGGTGCAGTGTGGTGGGTTTCTCACTGAGAGCGGCAGGGCTGGTTCCTATGCAGGCATTTCTGGAGGCAGCAAGTGTTCACTCCCACCCAGCTTGGACAAGAAGCAGGAAACTGAGAGGGTCTCCAAAGAAGGAACCCTGGTGTCACCCTGAGAAGCTGGGCTGACCATAGCAGGGAGTAGAGCTGGGAAGTAACACTGCTCACAGCAGGCTGCTCCTCCACCCAGGGAACAGCTGGAACAGCTGGAACAGCTGGAGTAGAGGGGTGTTGTTTGGTTTAGTGTAGGTGTTGCTTTATTTCGTTTTTTTGTTTGTTTGTTTGTTTATAACAAGACTGGCAGAGGGAAGGCCGTTTTCAAGGCAGAAAAAGCTGTAATAAGGAACTGTGTCTATTTGCTGTCCTGTCGTGTGAAGTTATCCAAATATGCAAAGAGACAGACCCTCTAGAAGTTTTGACAAAGTAATCAGATCCAATTGAGAGGGGTGAGAAACAACTGTCTTCATAATTCTTTAACTCCCTTCCTAGTGTGTGGTAAGTGTCGCAGACGGTAAACCAAGGGAGAGTAAGTGACCTCAGATTAAAGGCAACAGGCTGTGATCCAAGCCCGGAGGACATTGTGACCCAGAACTGAGATTTCCAGAAAAGTCCACTCTTAACGTAGCTTCCTGAAGGCCAGGTGGTAGTGGTGGCACACACCTTTAATCCCGCACTTGGGAGGCAGAGGCAGGCAGATCTCTGAGATGGAAGTTCTGGGACAGCCAGGGCTCCACAGACAATAAAATGTTACTAAGGCTCGGAGAGGACAGACAACAGCATGGCAAGGGCTCTGAGGAAAGTTCAGGCCCAATGATACATTTTACCCTGGAGAAGCCCTAGTCATGAACAGATATGTTAGCTTCTGAGTGTTTACAAAATGCTGACTTTTCATTTGATTTGTTCTAATTTGAGGGGACAGAGTCATAGTGTATAAACTAGGCCGGCCTTGAACTTACATCTCTAACCCCAGGGCATGCAGTCTTTTCCTTGTGTGAACACAGTGGGCCCTTGTCTGTGGGAGCTGGGTGGAGAGAAGTGCCTGCTGTACACACTTGGTCCACACTGGCTAGAGTCTGACTGGCCTCTTCTTCCAATCCCAACTATGTAGATAGTTCCTGGTATGAGTCCCAACAGCAAGAACCACAGCTACCACTACTCACTCCTGGAATGTCCCCACTCGGTCTCCAGTGCAGTGAGTGCTGCTCCCCTCAGGCTAGGCATAGGTTTGAGAAATAGAGAGATTGCCACTTCTCCATCCTATAGGTGCCACGGGAGGAAGGACAGCAGTCCACCCACTGCTTAGAGCCAACCTTGGGTTCAGTGTAAGATGCTGGAGCTGAAGACAATGAAGTAAGGTTCTCCCACATCCAGGCACTAGCCAGGCAGGCCAGCCCTGCTTACCTTCTGAGATGGATGTGATCTGACTAGTTAACACGGTGGCTGCAGACAGCTTTTTCGATTCTAGATTTGTTTTTGTTTCTCTGTGTAGCTCTGGCTGTCCTAGAACTCACTTTGTAGACCAGGCTGGCCTTGAACTCAGAGATCTGCCTGCCTCTGTCTCTCATGTGCTGGGATTAATGAGTGTGCCACCATCCCCTGGTGCTTTTACTTAAGGAAGAACAAACTTAAGTTTGGGACTCTGCCTCAGGACTCCAATCTGGGTCCTAAGGCCACCTTTTTTAAGTAAGGATTGGAGAAGGTGGTGAGATGTGGTCCTCTGTGGTCCTCTAAGTTTCTTAACCATTTCCCACCATTTTCTTTTTCTAAGAAGCCAGAAGAGGAGGAAAGAAGAGTTTTACATCGAAAGCCATGACCAAGGTAAGCCACATTTGCTACTTTTGTCATGAGAAGCTTCCAGGTCTAACTGCTGCTGTGACTCAGGAGTCTCCTGTAGAGCCCTCAGTGATTTGGAGAAGAGGAAGCCGTGTTTGAGAGCAGTTTTCCCAAACCAGCCCAGGACATCTGCTTTGTACAAACTGTCTGTGTTATCTAGAATTTCTGTCTCCCAGGCTTCTGTTCTTTGTGGTCTTGATGGTCAACCTGGTCATTTAGCAGGGAAATTGAAGTTATTTCAGTCTAATTTCTTTGTTGTCCCTTCTAGGGTCAGTGTAATGACTTCTTGCTTAAAAATGACAACAGTCTATGGTGTCTGCCTGGCCTCTTCCACTCATTTTCCCCAGAAGACACTCAGCTGTTAATGTTTCCAGATGATTTTGTCTATGCACATAATTGGCCCTATGTTTCTGTTTTCAGTGCAGGATGTCACTGGCAGAAACAACTGACTTAGAGTCACTGTAGTTTGAGCTTCTTCTCAAATGTGACCTTATTTAGTCCTCGTCCTAACCCTGTCATTAATTCTGTTATGTATTCTTTTTTTTTTTTTTTTTTTTAAAAGTAGGGCACCCTTATTCCTTCTTTGAGAGTTTCATACATACAAAGTTCATTGATCATATGCATCCCAGTTTCCCCTTATACTTCTTCCAGCCATCCCTCTGGTTCATGCCTCATGTCTTCATCCTCTTCTTCCCCCACTGAGTTCAATTAGTGCTGCTGCCTGTTGGAATGTTGACTGATCTTGTTAGTTTGGCCTTGGGCAGGAAGCCATAGTTCCAGTGAATTTGTGAATGCAGTGACCATGTCTCGGCACTCCTCCCCATCCTTCAGATCAGATTTGTGTAGTGAATTACAGTTTTTATTTTTTCAGCATTCATTTTTATTTTGTGTGTGGGTATTTTGCCTGTATCTATGTCTTTGCACTACATGTATGTCTGATACTCACAGAAGCTAGAAGAGGATGGTGGATTTCCAGAGACTGGAATTGCACATGATTATAGGCTGCCATATGGATGCTGGGAATTGAACCTGCTTCCTCTGGAAGGGCAGCCAGTGATCTTGACTGCTGAGCCGTCTCTCCAGCCCTTCTTTTTTCTTTTTTGATGTTGTTCCTTTGACAATTTCATGCTGGTATAGAATGCATTCTGATAACTCTCTCTGGACCCTCTCACGTATCCCTCCCATGCCAAAAAATACCCGCTTCTCGACATGGCCCTTTCCCAAATTCATGACCTTTGGTTTTGCTGTGTGACCCATATAGTTTACCCAGACTCTCTGTGTGACTCATGGATAGCTTTGCTTTACTGTATAGCCTTGGCTGGCCTGGAACTTACTTTGTAGCTCAGGATGGCTCAAATTCAGAGAGATTCTTCTGCCTCTACTTCTCCAATGCTGGGACCAAGAGTGTGCCCCACCACACCCAGCTGTGACTCCTGAATCTTTCTACTGATGCCCAATTGGGCACTAGTGGGCACCCAGCTGATTGACAGTAATTCCCCCTTTCCTGTCATTGCTTTTAAAAGTAGGACTCTAAAGTTTTTCTCAGACATCTCAGCTATCAAGGGATTTTGACTTCTATTATCAGGGAGTTGAGGGTTGGGGCACCTCTTGTGGTAAGTTAATTGTCTCCTAAACTTTTGTGTTTCTTTGTTGTGTTTACACACCTGTGGTGATGGATGTGTCTTTCCTTTTAACTCCTTCTGGAGCTGTTTTGTGTGAGGTCTTCTAAAAAATGATGTCCTCGGTAGAAAGTACATTTCCTGCAGTTATTAGGAGGGGTGACCCCAATGGTTTGTCAGCAGTTTTAGTTTTGCCTCCCTCTAGAAGACCCTCTGGTATTACACTTGAGTTTCCACAGGGTGGAGACTGGATGGAGGGTGTGAATGCCATAGATTCTTTGGGAGGAAAGAGGGGGTACAGCATGAGATGGGAGGTGTACAGGTTCGGGTGAAATATGAAGGTTCATAGTAAAACTATTTTAGATGTAAAAATGGACAAGAGCAGACTTTTGTAGGTGCAGAGAAGAGAGACAGTTATGGAGCACAGTGGGTCAACAATTAAAGCACAGAATTACAGCTAGGCTCAGAAAAGTAACCAGTGAGGAAAAGGAAATGTTTGACAAAGCACACACACACACACACGCACACGCACACGCACACGCACACGCGCGCACACACGCGCACGCCTACCTGCAGAGGAGCATGGAGACAGTGACTAGAGGATGCCGTGTACTGCAAGTACAGTTCCATTCGGTTGAAAAACACCACTTCCATGGACTTTATTTGAAGCACCAAGGAGCAGGTGTTCTCAGAGCCCTCGAGTGCCGTTTGTTCCCATGTTGACCTGTTCTTATGGAAGGGTTCAGTCAGGAATTGCCTTCTCCACTGTCCTTCCTATCAGCTTAAGCCTTTTGTCTTAATTTCACAAATGGCATGTTTGTGTGTCATTTCAGGGCTTGGAGTTCAAAGATGTGGTCATTTACTTCTCTGTAGAGGAGTGGGAGTGCTTGCACCATTCCCACAGAAATTTGTACCAGAATGTAATGTTGGAGAATTATAGCAACCTGATTTCACTAGGTAAGTTCATCCACCCACCAGCATTCAGAATTGCCCTTCCAGAATTTTCATATTCTTTATGATGAGTGCTGATTTTTTTTTTTTTAATTTTTAAAATTTTATTATGTAAGTGGGTATTTTGCCTGCAGGTATATCTGTGTTCCACATGCATGCCTGGTACCCATGGAAGCCAGAAAAGGCATTAATCAGAACCCCCAGAATTTGAGTTACAAATGGTTGTGGGTCACTATGTGGGTGCTGAGAACTGAATTCTAATCCTCTTATAATAGAGTCCAGTGCTCTTAACCGCCAGCCCCTGTTGATTTGTTTTGTCTGCTATGCAGCCCAGAATGCTCTGAAACTCATGACAGTCCTCTGCCTTAGCTTTACAAGTGCTGAGGCTATAGGCCTGCACCACTACCAAAGGCATTTGCTAAGTTTTTCATGAACACTTTTCAAGTAATTGGCTAAATTAATGACATTTATTTGGGGGGGGGTGGGAGGGAGACATCTTCTCTTCCCCAGCCCTCTAACATTCACTCACTTTATTTCTTAAATTATTATTTTTATTATTATTATTATTATTATTATTATTATTATTATTATTATTACTCTCTGTCTCTGTCTCTCTCTCTCTCTTACTGAAAATACTTTTTTTCATAACAATATATTGATTACATTTCCTGTCCCCCAAATCCTCCCAGATCCTCTCCACTTCCCCACCCACCCAAATCCAGACCTTCTCTTTCTCAGAATAGAAACAAACCAGGATAGGACTAAACAAGTGAACAGGAAAAAAAAAAAAAAAAAAAAGAAAGAAAACAACATAAAAGCACAAGAAACACATACAGACACTGAGACACACATTTGCACGCATTGGAAACCATAATATATGAGCAAAAGATCTGTAAGGTTAAAAAGAAAAAAAGAAAAATAAAAAGTCCAAAGCATTATGAGACAAAAACCTCCAACGATACCATTTGAGTTCACATGTTGTGCTGGCCATCTACTGCTGAACATGGGGCCTGCCCTTAGGTGAGGTTTCCATCTCAGTGGGGGTCCTTTGGAGAAAACTTAATTTCTCCTTTGTGGATGGTTGTCAGTTTGAGATAGTAGGAGAGAGGGCTTCTGGGTTAGGAGAGAGGGCTTTTTGTCCTCCTCCCCTCTCAGTCTGAGACCCTGTTTTTTCTCTTGACAATCATGTACTTATTTTATTATAGTCTCACTGTGTAACCCTGGCTGGCCTTGAACCCACAGAGATCCTCGTGACTCTGCCTCTAGAGTGCTAGGACTAAAGGCGTGTGCCTGTGTGCCAGGCCTCCTGGACCATGTTGATTCTGACATGCACAATATAAACTTCCCCTTTTGTCTTTGGACAGGTCTTGCTGACACTAAGCCAAGAGTGATCTCCCTTTTAGAGCAGGGGAAGGAGCCCTGGATGGCTATGAGGAATGGGACAAAAGAATGGCATCCCGGTGAGTGATGGTTCGTGGACCTGGGGAGACCCAGGCAGTCTGTGGGAAGGCGGCATTCTAGATGCCTCTGGGAAAGTGCCCGGGCAACCGAAGCCTATGGTCTAGAGGAGAAAGGATGTTCTAGAGCAGCGGCTCTCAACCTTCCTAACACTGTGGCCCTTTAATAGAGTTCCTCATGTCCATCAAATTATTTCCATCTCTAGTTCATAGCTGTAATTTTCATGGGTGAATGAAAAAAATAAAGACATGACTGCTCCTAGTTATGGTTGAAGAGAAAGTTTTGTTGTAGGTATGAGAGCACAGCCAGAGGCATCTGGAAGGGTCTAGACAGAACATGGCCAGTAGACTGAACCAGGCCATGAGAGGAGGGGGGTGGAGAGAAAGGAGAAACGGAGGAGGAGGGGACCAGGATCCAAGAGCCAGGAGCAAGCCAGAAGAGCACCAAGAAAACGCATAGCCAGACTGGCTGGGCTGTATAGGAAGAGAAGCTGAGGAAAGGGAAGCCAAGCTCAAGGGCTGGAGAGGTGTAGGTTAGAGGATGGGGCATGCCAGCCAGGGCGGCTGTTACAGTTTCCTGAAGTGCTGAGAGATGGTGGGAGAACCTGGTGGCCAGCATCCACCTTGATGTGTTAAATAGGCACCGCAGTCAGCCATTTGTCCTGAGTTTCTTTGAGACCTAACAATGGGAAGAATTTTTTAAATTTGTTTTTATTAGTGTATGTTCACGAGTGCCTGTTTGTCTGTCTGTGCACTTTTGAGCAGGTGCCCAAGATGGTTGGAGGAGGTCTTTAGAGCCTCTGGAACTGGGGAGGTTTTAGGAGTTTAGGGTCAGCTGATATGGGTGCTGGGAACTGAATCCAGGTCCTTTGCAAGAGCAGCAAGTGCTCTTAGCCACTGAGTCATCTCTCCAGCCCCCAGATTTTTTTTATTATAACTACTAGTTCATAATCCTTGTCACAGAACTATTCGGATGCTCTATTTACTCTTGAATCTTTCTTAATAGTTTTTCATTTCAGAATCCATGTGTTTTGTCTAGGCTGTCTGATAAATTGGTTCAGAGTGGTTTCTTAGAGCCCTTTTTATATATGTGAGGTCACCAGCCGTCCCCTTCTTTCATTGTCCAGTTTAGTACCTTGCATGTCTTCTCTTGTTTCTCTTCCAGTTAATGATGACTTGCAGCTGGGTTGTTATTTGATTCCTTTACTGTAGTTCTTAGAATTATTTTCTTAGTGGTTGCCCTAGGGATTATTGTATTCGAGGGGGCGCAGCATAGGAACTAACAAGTATAGTTGGCACTTTAATTTAAAGCAATTTAGAAGCCAAGCATCCCACACCTATAATCAGTACTCTGGGGGCGGAAATGGGGATCATGCATTCTAGACTCTCCTGGGTTAAACAGTGAGAGCTCGGCTCAGGAAGAAATAAGATAGAGGCCTGGACTGTGGAATGTGCTCTTCGAATTGGAAAGGAAGGGAGTAGCTCCTCAAATGCCTTTGATGTATTCCTCTGACACTTTCCCACAGGCATTTGTAAGGAAACAGGCCCCCAAAACTTCCCCTTCCTGCTTGTGCAGGACCTTGAGATGAGAGGATTGTGACTGATGAGGACTTCTTTCCAGGTCTTCTGGGGAAGCAGACAGCTGCCTGTGTGCATAGCCTTTTGTATTCCCAGGAGCATAGGTTGTCCATATCTGTGATTTCCTTTCTAGCTCCTGATTTACTGAAAACTAAAAGCATAGCGTTATGCTGCTACAGTATACAGTACTAGCTGTTTGCCACTGTTTTCAACAGTGTTCTAGGGTGGGACTGCTCTTGCCTGCTCCCAATCCCTGGTCTCACATCCCCCGGAGCTGAAGTTACAGACGATTGTGAGTTGTCAGACTCATGTGCTGGAGAACTGCCCTTGGCTCCTCTGCTAGAGCAGTACACGCTCCTAACCATTGAGCTATCTCTCCAACCCCACTCAGTATTTTCTTATTGCAGATTTAACAGTGAACAAGTGAAGGCCCCATCTGGTCACATTTATTACATGTTCTAGTGAAGGAAAAAAAATAGATACATACATTATTTTAATTATAGTAAGATTGCTCATCAGACTTCCTTTGGGAACCTCCAGCCCCCAAATAATGACACAGAGATTTATTATTAATTATGAAAGTTTGACCTTTAGCTTAGGCTTGTTCCTAAACTAGCTCTTATAACTTAAATTAACCTGTTTCTATGAATCTACATTCTGCCATATGGCTCTTTACCTCTCTTCCATTCTATACATCTGAGTCCCCCCATGTCTCGCTGGCATCTCTGCACCTAGATTCAGACCCCTGAGTTCCTCTCTCTGTCCCGCCCAACCTTTCCTGCCTACTTATTGACCATTTGACTCTTTATTAAACCAATCAGGTGCCTTAGGCAGGTGAGGCAAAACATAGACACATCTTCATGCAGAGTAAACAAATAATCCTGCAACATTTAAGTGCCAATAAAATATTGAAATATTGTATGTTAAGTTAGAGAATGATGAGGTATCTCTATTATATAGGACTGAGTTGGGATGGTTGTCTGAGGAAGGACATGGGTATGGGTACAGCAAGAGGACCCGAGAGAAGGGTCCATGAAGGGAGGGGGTGTCAAGGTGCCAAGAACAGCAGTGCATGGAGGATGTGAGCTTAATGTCAGCAAGAAGCTAGTGGAGGGATTGGGATAAGCAGGTGTTACAGACACATTGCAGCAGTGCCTTTGTCATGAACTGCATTCTGCTCTCAAGCAGCAGGCTGTAGTAGAGGAGCAAGGGTGACTGGGAGAGGGGGGCAGCTTTACCCCATTATCTATGCCATGAGGATGGGTGTATATGAGATTTGTCCCTAGATCGCCTTCTAAGCAGCAGACACGGTGGAACTGAATTACAAGGCTGTCTGGGAAATGAAGTGTTTGTTCTACACTACTGTTGCCAAGCTCTAAGGGGTGTATCACCCACAGAGGAGACTTGGCCCATTTAGTTGACAAAAGAGGAGCATTAGGCAAAGAAAGCCAGGCAGAAGAGCCTGGGAGAGGGAGATCAGAGTGGTCCACAGAGCCCCGAGAGAGGCTTTAGTTCAAGAAGGCAAGGACAGAGAAGCAGATGTGTGTGGTATGAAAGCAGGGGATAGAACTGACAGGGGGGAGGGGACAAAGTATAATGACATATTTGTGTGAAAATGCTATAATAAAACCCATTATTTTAAATGCTAACCTTGGGGGCCAGTAAGCAACTGGTAGCTAAGAGTAACTGAGAGAATTAACTATTTGAATTAACTATGTAGAAGTTATTGAGGAGGCCAGGTGATGGTGGTGCACACATTTAATCCCAGCACTCAGACAGAGGCAGATGGATCTTTGTGAGTTTGAGGCCAGCCTGGTCTACAGAGTGAGTTCTAGGACAGCCAGGGCTACACAGAGAAACCCTGTCGGAGGAGGAGAAGGAGGCATTTAAAACCAGTTAACAGTAGGATGACAAGGACAGAATTTATTGGATTTTAAGAAGAGAAACCATGGAAAATAAATTAGAGAAGCACTGAAGGTCACCTAGCATCATGTTGAGGAATAAGGCAAATAGAACATGGCAATCGAGGTAATGGGATTAGGTATACTTTGTCTATATATGTCTGAAAACTTCCATGGTACTAGAAAATACCAGAGGACAAGTAGTAAGTGTGCTTTACAAAAACAGAGTATGTAGAGTGGTGAGCACCCTATTCTGTAAAGGTCATAAGTAGAGACCAGAATAAAGCAATAGACTGAGCCGCATTGGTAGCTTAGGGAAAGTATCTTGCAGCAGTTTCTAAAGCTGTGCTGTGCTTCACAGTATAGAGAAGCAGTTGGCCAGAGAGCTGGAGCAGGCTTAGCTAAGGTCAGAAACAGGAACTGAAGGGCAGATTGTCAGAAGGTTCTTTTGCCTGTGTGTATGTGTGCGTGCCTGCTTGTGTGTATGCGGGCGTCACATGCGTGCAGTGCCTGTGAGGGCCGATGAGTGAGATTCCCTGGAGTTACAGTGCTGAGAACCAAACCTCGGTCCTGGGTAAGAGTAGCAAGTAAGTATTCCTAACTGCTGGGCCATCCTCTCTCCAGCTCCATTAAGATACTTTGGAGATTTGTTTATGTGTTTGAGTGTCTTTGCCTGCACGTATGTATTGCACTACTTATATTCCTGGTGCCTATGAAGGTCAGAAGAGGGCTTTGGGATCCCTGGATCTGGAATTATGGATCGTTATGAGCCACCTTTTAGGTCCTATGAATTGAACCCAGGTCAGCTACAAGAAGAGTGAATATTCTTAACTGTTGAGCCATCTCTCCAGCAGATTTATTTTGAAATTTGAGTGTGTGTGTGTGTGTGTGTGTGTGTGTGTGTGTGTGTGTGAATATAGGTGTTGAGGCCAAAAGAAGCATTAAATCTTCTGGAGCTGAAGTTATAGGTGGTTGTGAGTTGCCTGGGGTAGGTTCTAGGAATCAAGCCGGGGCCTTCTGCAAGAGCAGCAAGTGCTTGGAACCTCTGAGCTGCCTCTCTCCAGCTTCCTTGGGAGGGCTGTTATTTTGAGTGAGGATGAGGTTCTGACAGAAGGGTGCTATGAACTCACTATTTTTTTTTTTTTTCTTTCTGGTTTTCAGAGACAGGGTTTTACTGTGTAGCAGTCCTGGCTATCTTGAAGCTTGTTTTGTAGACCAGGCTAGACTCAATCTTACAGCAGTCCACCTGCCTCTGTCTCTCTAGTACTGAGATTAAAGGTGTGCGCCACTGCTGCCCAGCTGATCTCACTATTTTTACACTTGATCTTAGCCAAAAGGCCGAGAAGGGATGATGATCTCACTGTTTTTAACAGCAACATTCTAACCACTGTGTGGAGTGGAAATTGGGGTATGGCCGAAGATCTGGTAGGCTATATATATAGCATGGTGGAACTCTTTGGCCAATAAAGGCTCTAAACAAGATGGTTGAGATACAGGAAAGCAAACTGAACATCTGCACATGGTCTGAGGCTAGAGATGGGAGCCGTTGTTGGCTACCTTGTTTATATTCTCTCAGTTTTCTTAGACAGCTCCTGGCTGATGTTTACATTCTCTCAGTTTTCTTAGACAGCTCCTGGCTGATGTTTACATTCTCTCAGTTTTCTTAGACAGCTCCTGGCTGATGTTTTGAGTAAGTTTCCTATGTGATTCAGATGCCCCCCAGAGTGGAAAGAACATGGCCTTCCCCTTCCTTTTTGAACGCCTTCATTGTCTCCCATCTCATACCCCCCTTCCAGGTTTCAGTGTTGTGTTGCGAGTTGTTTAAATTTTCATTGCCTTTAGCTGTCACTTCCAGCAATATTCCCTTCTGAAGTGTGAAAATGACCCTCCACTGTCTTATTATCTTACAGATTGGGTGTCTGGAAGAGAAGGCAAGAATTTACTTCCAAAGGACGGCTACAAAATTAGATCATTGCAACAAAAGATGGCAAAAAAACAAACACACCTCAACGTTGAGGACAGCAGGGTTAGAGGTAACAGAAAAAACACAGGTCATTTGGAGAGGCAACAAGACCATCAGGAGGGACATTTGAGACAAGCTGTAGTGACCTCTGTCGAGAGGCCCAGTTCCATCCAGTGCACAGCCCACAAAGAAGCTCACCCTAGAGAAAAACCCTGTGAATGCAAGAAATGTAAGAAAACGTTCATGTGCCAATCATGTCTCACTGAACACGAGCAAATTCACAAAAAGGAAAAGAGCATTGGGTGTGCACAATGTGGGAAAGTCTTTAACTGTAGGTCAGACTTAGTCATGCATCAAAGACTTCATGACAGCAAAAAAGGCAGCGAAAATAAGAAAAGTGTCCTTATTTGTGGTTCTGATGTTTCGAAACCTCAGAGTGCTCACAGTAGTGAGAAGCCTCATAAGTGTCGGGAATGTGGGAAAGGGTTCCATTCTACCTCCCAGCTCAGTCACCATCAGAAGCTGCATATAGGTGAGAAGCCCTACAAGTGTCAGGAGTGTGGGAAGGCTTTTCCATCTGTTGCACAGCTCAGTCTTCACCAGAGGGTTCACACTGATGAGAAGTGCTTTGAATGTAAGGAATGTGGGAAAGCCTTCACGCGCCCCTCACACCTTCTTCGTCACCAGCGAATCCACACTGGTGAGAAGCCTCACATGTGTAAGGTGTGCGGGAAGGCCTTTCGTTATGACACACAGCTTAGTCTCCATCAGCTAACTCATGCTGGGGCGAGACGCTATGAGTGTAAGGACTGTGACAAAGTGTATAGCTGTGCCTCCCAGCTTACTCTCCATCAGATGGTCCACACTGGGGAGAAGCCCCATAAGTGTAAGGAGTGTGGGAAAGGCTTTATCTCTGATTCCCATCTCCTTCGACATCAGAGTGTTCACACTGGGGAGAAGCCCTATAAATGTAAGGAATGTGGCAAAGGCTTCCGTCGTGGCTCAGAACTTGTCCGACATCAGAGAGCCCATACTGGGGATAAACCCTATAAATGTAAGGAATGTGGGAAGTCCTTTACTTGTACCACAGAACTCCTGAGACATCAAAAAGTGCACACTGGTGATAGACCCCACAAGTGTAAGGAGTGTGGGAAGGCTTTCATTCGCAGATCAGAACTAACACATCATGAAAGAAGCCACAGTGGTGAAAAACCCTATGAGTGTAAGGAATGTGGGAAGACCTTTGGCCGTGGCTCTGAGCTTAGTCGACACCAGAAAATCCACACTGGTGAGAAACCCTATAAGTGCAAGCAGTGTGGGAAGGCCTTCATTCGTGGATCTCACCTTACCCAGCATCAGAGAATTCATACGGGACAGAGGAGTGACTGAGAAACACTGCCATCAGAGAGTTCATACAGTTAAAAATTCCTCTGATGGCTAACAAATTGGGAAAGCAGCATCCTAGGGTTTCTCATTAGCACTAGATTCCAAACTCAGAGACCAGTTAGGGCCACAAATGATTGGACACTTGTCGCCAGTAAGAAACCTTACAATTACGGAAATTGGAGGTGACTTAATTGTTCCAAAATTGATTTTAAGGCTTTAGTTTATGAAAAATTGGAAAGTCCCATGAATGTAAAGAAAATAGAAATGTCCTTTCAGTGATCCAGAGCCAAAATATGCCTCAGGGAATTCACACCAGGGCCAAACTAAGGAGGCAGTAATATCAGAGAAATTAGTTGTTAGCCCTCAGAGGAAAGAATCCATAATCACTGTACAAATGGGGTCTCTCATGCTTAAGGCCACACTTGTGCTGAAAAATGTAGCACGTTCTTCATTCATGTCACTCAGATTGTATGAAATATTTTTTAATTTATTCTATAAAATGAATCTCAACTGAGGAAGTGTGGGGAAGGACTTAACCATGTTTACTTTTTGCTCACACTTTCTCAAGAATTCCAGCAGGGTCAATCACTTACTGACTGTTAAATTCTTTTATAAGTTGACATTGTTAGCATCATGTATCTAGTTGTACTGTGAGGATGTGTTTAGTTTGTGGAATAGCCCAATTCAGCAGGGCATGGTGGTGCATGCTGTACACAAGCACCTGGAGCCAAAGGCAGGGAGGTCACAAGTCTGAGGCTAGCTTGAAGCATATCTCGAGGGAAAAAATAATTGCCAAAGATAGTTGCTTTCTGTGTTATTTTCAAAATTGTGAACTTTTCTATAACCACCGTATAAAAGGAAAGCCTTACATGTCCAGAGGTTGGAGGGACATTTTGCATTGACTGTTACAGAATCAATCCTTTTGGAGACAAACTGAAAGCTTTCATTCATACTTTGCCCTTCTGCCAGTCAGAAGGTTCAGTTTAGATGCAGCCCAGTTGCTGGGAGGGGAGATTTTGATGACACAGTGTTGTGTATGAGATGAAGATAAAATTGAAAAGAAATAGGCTGGTTGAATGAGCAGAGACTGTAGGTTTTGCCTGTCTGCAGGCGTTACCATTCCCCTCTGCCAACCACTGACAGTCAGGTCCTCCTAGCTGCGTGCTGGTCTCCTGTGTGACAGAGGATCTGACCAGGAGTCCATAGTGGGCTTTAGTAATAAGACACAGGAGGAAAATGGTCTTCTCAGCTGTAGGAAGCACATGTCTGCCGACACGTGGCGCCTGATTTGTGCTGCAATAAAAAGGTTGTGAGGCTGAGACTATTATGGGAATACATTGTCATTGACATTGTGGCTTCATGAAACCATGAACTGCCCTTTCCCTGAACTTGCAGAATAAGAAATGCATACATTGACAATTAATACTCAGCTCTTTACAGTATACCTAACTTGGAAAATTACCATTTAAAAGTATTTTTACATATAGATTCAGTTTCAATAAGGTAGGGTGTTTATATATATTCAGCTTTTATAGTATATCTGACATAGAAAAACATTATTTTCCAAAGTATTTTCTTAGCCATATTATTAGAATATATACTCACTTTTGATTAAGTAAGATGTAGGATGTTTACTTATAGCATTTGATAGTGTATTTTTATATCCTGCTTTTTACAATATATCTTAAATCCTGGAAAAGTATTGTTTTCCTGAATGAAGTTAGAATCAAGGAGAACCTGCTTAAGAAACTGCACTAATTTCTCTTAAACTGAGTCATGTGACAGCTAAAAAAAAATCTTCTACCTCTTCAGGACACGAGGCACTCACAGCTGTGAAGGGAGCAAGCATTTTGACCAAGTCAAGTAAGCTATTTACAAACCCATTGTACTTAATGGAGGCTATTCTGATGAGACCAGCGAGTCCCGTCAGGAGCCAGTAAAGTGGTGCTTCGTGCAGATGTGTTTGTAGACGTGCTAGTAAGTAGACAGACACCAGAGTAATACAGCAGCCGGTGCCTGCTGTGAAGGGACATTACCTCCCTGTCTACAGACTTCCAGCTAGTGACGTTTATCTGCCTCACACTGTACAACAATAATGCATGTGGAAAGCGAAACTGCTATTTAGTAGGCAGACTACTGCAGAACCGTTTGTAACAATTCAGGTAGTGAGTGGGTGTGTTGTATGCACACGTGTGTGGAGGTCCTGCTTCAGGAGCCATCCACTTTGGTTTTTTGATACAGGGCCTCATGAGGAGCTGGGGCTCACCATTTAGGCTCAGCTGGCTGACCTGTGGTGCCCAGGGAGCCACGGGGCCCTGTACCCTTAGTGTTGGCATTAAAGGCACATCACTCGGCTTTTGGGAGACTTGGAGCTCAGGTCCTCATGCTTGCACAGCAAGCACATTACTGACCGAGCCGTCTCGCCAGCCCATCAAGATTGTTTTAAAAGGGAGAAATGATTACTGAATTTTAATCTGCACTGGTATATTAATTTAATAAATCTAAAAATTTAACTATTCTAAAAAGAGAACTTGCACATTTTATAGGAATTAATTAAATTAATAAAAGCAGTTTTTAAGAGATGATAGCAGTACTGATTGCAGTGTTGGAAGGATAGCTCTTTAATGTTCTGTTCATGTATACATACTTTTTTCAAGACTTGCACGTCCTCTCCCAAATCATGTATGTATCATGCTGCACCTGAAAGCTAGAACATACTGCAGTGATTTTGTCAGAGAAACAACGCTGGATACACTGTCCTGGGTGCTAGTAGCCCGAGGGCGCTGTGCTTCTGTTGTCACGCTGGCTGGTGCGCACAGCCATGCTTAGACTTGTGAGAGGGTATTGAATGGGATTGTGCACATACACACAGGAACACAGCCTCTTTCTCTCTGGTAATCCACTGTAGACATCTTTCCAGTCAGTAATTACAGAGCTAACTAACTTCACATAATTCATCTGAGCCATATGTGTGCAGCCCATTCTTCACCAGCCATTGTTCAGGTTGGTTTTACCATCAATGTAAAATACCATCAGGTATTGCCGTATATGTTGGTGTTTCTGCTTCTGGAAAAGCCGGTGAATTCCTGCCAGTTGAATCCTTGCCTTAACAGAGTAGATTTGAAATGTACTTGGTGCCTTATTGCTTTTATGTAAAGGTTACAATTATCTCAACGGAAACGTGTGTGTGCGTTTCCCAACTCTGTCAACCAGCTGTGAAAACGTGACGTGCCTTCCATTTGCACTACCTTAACTGCCAGCAAGGCAGAGCATCTCCCGGGCCTATGGGACATTTGAGCTTTGTTTCTGTGAATTGCACATTGTTATCAGTCTCCCTTTGTAGAAGCACAGCTAGACGATTGTATTACCACATTAGCAATTTATTGTCTTAGTCTAGATCATGCCATTTGCCCTTGTCTATATTAAAATGTTGTTTTCTGAAGGGCCAGACAGTATTGCAGGCGTTGGGGGCCTGTTTTCATGCATGGAAGTGCATCTTGTTTGAACCAGTGGTTCTCGGCCACTTCTACCACAGGCATTCTTGTTTGTCACTTTAAAGATGATTGCTGCTTGTGTCTAGTGGGCAGAGGCCGAAAGAGATCCTTCTCAGTGTCTTGTGATGCACAGCACAGCCCCCAAAGAAAACAATGTCCATGACGTTCCTGGCCAAACGGAATTGGATAGCACTGTGTCAGTAAAACATTCACAAGAAGCAGGCAGCTGGCATGTTGTGCTTTAGACGTAGCTCTCTCACCCTTATTTGACACAATAGCTTCTGTCTGTATGCTGCTTTACTGCTTTTGTTTCTGAATTCTCTTTTATCCCAGCTAGTTTTCTGTATTTTATGGCTTTAAATCTTCCTTCCTAAAAATACAGAAGATCAGTAGCATGTGTGTAATGACGGCCCAGTATTTTTGAAACATGGAATTCTGTTTGCTTAGTTTTGATTGAAATTATATAAAATAAACATTTCAGAAAACTATGCTGAAGTCTCGCTTTTCCTTCGTGGAACCCTGTTCCCTGTGCCTGCAGAGGGAGTAGAGTAGCCCAGTACACTGGGTCTGTAAGATCAAACTCAAAGGTCCACATGGATGATGCACAGCCTGTAGACTGCTGAGTAACTGAGGGATTGACGAGGACAGACCTCATTCTTGTTGTGCCTGCTCTTTTCCAGTTTTATGTATTACAGTCACCGAGAGAACAACAGAAGCAGGTAATATCTACGTGTTTTAAACACTGGGGGATTTAATAAAGATTTTTCATTTAAAGAACATTCAGCAAAACCAAGGAGCCATGCTTACAACCTGTACAACTTAGGAAGGAAGTATAAAAGATACAGGCCTGGGTACTGTCGCGTGACAGGAAGTGCTGCACTTCTGATGTTCCATGGATGAAGGAAGAGAGGCTGGACATCACCGCCTCAAGAGGACCGTGTCTGCTGTCCAGGTGTGTGTCCCAGAAGCCGTGGGGTCCCAATAAAAGGTGACCGTATGTTAGGCGTACAGGGAGTTCAAAAATTGCAGTGCAAGAGGAAGCCTGAGGTGGCCCAGAGTAAGGTCCACAGGCACAGCCCCAGCACAAACTACAGACCAGGCAGGAGACCAAAGCTGACTAAGGACAGTATCTGACCTCAGAGGAGACTAGGCCTAGAGTCTCAGGCCCTAAACACCAGCCCCACAAAGGGAAACAGCACCTCTGCCCCTTGACTAAGGCCTCTCCTGAATACTGTACACTCCACTGGAAAAAGAAAAGTTGAATTTCTAGAAAAAAAATGAAAAGCATTTAACTTCAACTGTGCAAGTCCCATTGTAGAAACATACGTGTCTTCTCAAAAAGAAATTTACTAAACCCAATGAAAATGATTTGGCAGAACTTCCAGGAAAAAAAAAACAAACAACATAATTATAGTTGTTCTTTTAAACAACTCAAAGAAGACGTGTATGTACTCCAAGAGGAAAAAGAAAATAAGGAAGTCAATTCGAGACAGACTAGGATTCAATAAGGAGATAGAACTGAGAAAAACCAAACTGAAATTATTCTGGAAATGAAAAACTCAGTAAGCCAAATGAAAGATCCAGAGGAAGCCATTAGCTATAGAGTAGATCACATGGGAAACAGTAACAGGGCTGGAAGACAAGTTAGAGGAATGGGGTCACTCAGTATAGGTCAATAATTTTTTTAAGAAAAAGAGGGGCTGGAAAGAAGGCTTTGCTGGTTAAGAGCACAGGCTGCTCTTCCAGAGGACTTAGGTTCAATTCCCAGAAACCACATGGTGGCTCAAAATCCATCCAGTTCCTAGGAGCCAATGTCCTGTTCTGGCCTTGTGGACAGCAAGCACACAAGTACACATACATATATGTAGGCAAGGGAGATGGTGGCGCTCACCTTTAATCCCAGCTCTTGGGAGGCAGAGGCAGGTGGATCTCTGAGTTCGAGTCCAGCCTGGTCTACTGAGTGAGTTCCAGCACACTGAGAAACCCTGTCTCCAAAGCAAAAAAGGAAAAGAAAATCTTGTATACATGCATGTAGACAAAATAGCCATACCCATAAGATAAATAAAAGTTTTTTTTTTTGTTTTTTTTTTTTTTTTTTTTTTTCCGAGACAGGGTTTCGCTGTGGCTTTGGAGCCTGTCCTGGAACTAGCTCTTATAGACCAGGCTGGTTTCAAACTCACAGAGATCTGTCTGCCTCTGCCTCCCAAGTGCTGGAATTAAAGGTATGCACCGCCACCACCTGGCTAACAGAATTCTTGTACACCATGAAAACTCCAATTCTAACTATGGACATAGAAGGAGAACACAAACACAAATTTTTAAATCTCTGTATAAAAAAAAAGTCAAGGACTTGATGGATTCGACATCAATAATACTCAAATTATTTCTTAAAAAGTAAAGTTTCTAACTTATTTTTATGAAGCTACTATTATCCTGATAGCAAAATCAGATAAAGACACCACCACAAAAAGAAAGAGAGAGAGAAGCAAAAATTCAAGGGTCGTATTTTCAAGGAGCATGACAGAGTTGATTTTATTCCAACAATGCAAGGGTAGGTCATCTTACATGTAACAGTGTATATCAGTAAGTATAATTTATTACACAAACAGAAGGCAGAAATCAACAAGCATCTCAATAGACGGTGGAAAAGGCCTTTGATAAAATCCAACATCCCTTCATTATAAAAGTATTGGAGAGATGGCTCGGTGTTTAAGGGCACTTCCTCTTCAGAGCATCCCTGTGCTGGCTCACAATTGCCTGTAGCTTCAGTTCCAGGGAATCCTATGCCCTTTTCTGACCTTGGGCACCAGGAACTCACATGAACATACATACACGTGCAGCAAAACATTCCTGAATCGTGGCTCAGCAGTTAAGAACATGTACTTATGCACTTTTCTTTCAGAGAACCCAGAGTTTGATTTCCAGGACCCACATCTGGGACAAGGGTGTCATACTCTCCACTTCTAGGCAGTGTTGTGCTTGAAGTCGTCTTAGCTAGGGCAACACAAGAGAAGGAACTAATACAGATAAGGACAAAAGGCGAGAAAGCACCCCCTTTTGCAGATGGAATGAGGCTATACATCAAAAGATCCTAAAGACTCTGCTATAGTGGGAAATTACCAATACGAGTCAGGTAGAAATATAAGGGTATTTAATAGGGAAAAGCCTTACTTACAGAGCGACCTAGCCAGCCGGGCGTGGCAGCAGTCTGTACAGCAAGAAGCAAAGTGAAATCGAAAGAGCAAACGCAGTCACACGACGTCACTCTGACTATGCCCTCACAGGCGTGGTCAGGCACACCTGTAGCCAGCTCCTAAGAAGGCGTGGCTACAGCTTCCCCTACATTCTGCTGTGCATTATGCTCATTGTTAATAAAAACCAGATTGGCTGATAGCAGGGCAAGAAGACAGCCTGACACAGAGAGAATGATGGACGAAGGAAGGCTAGAGTCAGGGGAGTTGAGAGAGTTGCTGACAGCTGCAGAGGGAGCAGGAGATGAATGTGCTGTGTTAATAAAGGTACTTTCGAATGGTAGAGGGTAAGGAATTTGAGTTAACTTAAAATGTAAGTGCTAGCTGGTAATAAGCCTGAGCAATCAGCCAGGCATCTGTAATTCATATTCAGCCTCTGAGTCAGTTATTTGGGACCAGTTAGTGGAAGAGGAAGTGGCCAATTACGGAGTCCAACACAAAACTCTTAAAGCTGAGAAACCAAAAGCCGCAGGGTACAAAATTAACACACAGAAGTTTTCCCATATGCTAATAACAAACAAACATGCTGAAAGGAATTCACAATAACCACAAAAATCAAATGAAATGCCTGGGAATAAATGGAACCAAGGAAACAAAAGACTTCTATAACGAAAGCTTTAAGACACTAAAAACGAAAATTGAGGAAGACACTAGCAAATGGGAAGATCTCCCATGCTTATGGGTTGGAGGAATTTAGTTTTATGAAAATGGCCTAAAAGGGAAAAGAAAGAGAGACAGAAAGAAAAGAAAATGGCTATTCTAAACTACAATCTACAGATTCAATGTAGTCCCAATAAAAATTCCAAGAGCATTCTTCACAGGCACAGAAAAAAAAACACATCATACAAATTTATATAAAGGCTTAAAAAGAACTAATGATAGCCAAGCAGTCCTGAGGAATGAAACACTACTGGAGGTGTCACCATACCTGATTACAAATTCTACTACAGAGCCATGGTGATCAAAACAGCATGGCCCTCGCAGGCGTGGTCAGGCACACCTGTAGCCAGCCGCTAAGTGGGCGTGGCTACAGCTTCCCCTACAGTGCTGCATCAATAGAAGAGAATTGAGGGCCCAGATACCAGTACAGGCAACTACAGTTACTTGAGTTCTAACAACAACAACAACAAGACAGTATCTTTAACAAATTGTACTGAGAAAGCTAGATTTCACCATGAAGGGAGACATGAAAGTAAAAAGGGACAAGTGAGGACATTGGGGTGGATGTGACCACAGTACATTGTATACACCCATGCAATTGTTTTAAAGGGCTGGAGAGATGGCTCATCAGTTAAGAGTATTGGCTGCCTTTCCAAAGGACCGGGGTTCAATTCCTAGCACCCACATGGCAGCTCGCAACTCTCTGTGACTCCAGTTCTGGGGGACTTGACGCCCTCACACAGACATATATGCAGGCAAACACCAATGCACATCAATTTTTTTTATTTTTATATGTCCAATTAAAGAAAAATAAACTAGCTCACATATTGTACTTATTTTTCAATTTAAAGCTTTCAGACTGGCAAATTACATCCCTTGAGGGATGCAAACCAGAAAGCCCCAGGATCATGTATGCAGCCATTATAGAGCATCTCAGGGCGATGTTTCATGAAACTCACACCCACATATGGTGATGCTACTGACCCTTTCCTATGTGACCCTCTGTCTAACTACTTGGTAAACTTTGTTTCCCGTGGTGGCTCGAATAAAGATTCCCCCATAAGCTCGTAGATTTGAATGCTTGTTCACCAGGGAATGGCACTACTTGAGAAGGATTTGGAGGCGTGGCCTTGTTGGAGGAAGTGTGTCACTGGAGGTGGGCTTTGAGGTTTCCAAAAAGCCCAAGCCAGGCTCAGTGTCTCACCGTCTTTCTGCTGCCTGTAAATCTGGATTTGGAACTCTTAGCTACTTCTCCAGCACCATGTCTGCCTATATGCCATCCTGTCTTGATAATGGACTAAACTGAAAGCCAGCCCCAATGAAATGTTTCCTTTATAAGAGTTGTGTTCCAGTAGGTACTCACTCATAAGTGGGTATTAGACATAAAACAAAGGATAACCAGCCTACAGTCCACAACCTCAGAGAAGCCAAGAAACAAGGAGGACCCCAAGAGAGACATACATGGATCCCTGAGGAGGGGAAATAGACAAGATCTCCTGAGTAAATTGGGAGCATGGGGGAGGGTCGGTGGTGGTAGGGAGTGGGGAGGGGAGGGGAACAAGAGGGATTGAGAAGGT